TCCACCTGGGTTTTAGAGGGGCGATCTCAGCCCTCAGATTGTCCCCGCTTCTCTCTCACCGCCCTGGCCCTCTCCGCCAGTCCTGGCCCCAGGCTCATGGCGCTGGGGCAGAGGAAAGGCTTGCCGGGTTTATTTTTTCTGAGCTAAACCTGAAACACAACAAAAGAGCGCAAAGGAGACCTGCGGCTGGTAAACACGACCCCAGAGCCTCCTTTCTCCTGCTCAGATTTGCAGTCCTAGTTTTGCCTTGTACCCAGTGATCATTTTAAGGAGGTACAAGCACTGTATCGTGTTCAAGTGTATGCACCCCAGCATCCTGCGAGCTTGGGGGCAATGAGGGGAAAGATGGTCGAGATGGTCGGGTTGGTTGGTGCTTGGGTTGGGCAACAGGGCTTCTTGCCTTTGCGGAGCTAGGTAACCTTGGCTTTGTCTAGGGAAAGTGCCGCAGGCTTTGCAATCTTACGGTAAAGAGGGCAAAGGCGGAGGGGAGAGAATGGAACCTGCATTGCCCACTCTTCAGGACCAGCCTTAGGGCTGGGCTAGGGCAAAGAGCCAAGCATCTGGCTTTTTGAGATGGTACCCTACCCCTGAGCCTCTTCCCAGTGCCCAGAGGTGGGCCACAGAAAGGGCTACATTTCTGGAGGAATGCTTTGTGTGGGGGCAGGAAGGCAGAATTCAGGAGATTCTGGGGAATGCAACAGTACCCAGGCAGGGTGGAGAAGGTGTCCTCCCTTCCTCATTTATCTTTCAAAAGAGAATGGGCACCTAAAAACCTGGCTGTGGGGCTCCCTGCCTGCCTAGGAGAGGTGGGGAAGAAGGGACAGACTTGGGAACCTGAGTCAGCAGTAGGGTTGGTGGGCTTGTCCAGGCTGTGTCTTATTCCTCTCCAGTCCTGTCAGGAGCTGACCACTTAGAATCGTGCGGAGGAGATCTGGAAAAGTTTACTATTGTACTAATGTTTTGTGTAAGTCAGAAAGTTGAGAGAGAGAACCTTGACGACGCCCAGGGTCCTCCCATCATGTCATTTAGGTGTAATCTGGCACCAATTAAAAATTCCTACCGGGGCCCACCTCATGTGAGTAATGTTTAATACTAGCATTTTCCAAAGCGGCCTGGCTGCCAGCAGGGTCATGGCCAAGGGTACATTTGAACAGACTGAGAGAAAAAAAAATTCTTGATTTTTTTTTCTTCTTCTTCTCCCCTTAATTTTGTTAGAGGAAATCAAGTCTGATACTCCAACCAGCAATTGGCTCACTGCAAAGAGTGGCAGAAAGAAGAGGTGCCCTTACACTAAGCACCAAACGCTGGAATTAGAAAAAGAGTTCTTGTTCAATATGTACCTCACCCGCGAGCGCCGCCTAGAGATCAGTAAGAGCGTTAACCTCACCGACAGGCAGGTCAAGATTTGGTTTCAAAACCGCCGAATGAAACTCAAGAAGATGAGCCGAGAGAACCGGATCCGAGAACTGACCGCCAACCTCACGTTTTCTTAGGTCCGAGGCCGGTCGCAGGCCAGGATCTGAGAGGGACACCGCGTTCCAGGGCCGAGTGCTGGAGGACTGGGAAGGCGGAAACAAAACCTTCATCGCTCTTTGTTTTTTGTTTTGTTTTGTTTTGTTTTCCTGCTAGAATGTGACTTTGGGGTCATTCTGTTCGTGCTGCAAGTGATCTGTAATCCCTATGAGTATATATATATATATATATTAAAAGAATTAGCACGTGTAATTTATTATTTTTTCATCGTAATGCAGGGTAACTATTACTGCGCATTTTCATTTGGGTCTTAACTTATTGGAACTGTAGAGCATCCATTCATCCTTCCATCTATCCAGCAATGTAACTTTTTCATGTCTTTCCTACCACAAAAGGTCTCTGTGTGTGGTTAGTCCATGAACTCATGCCATTTTGAATACATCCAGTACTTTCAAAATGACATATATATTTAAAAAAGATTAAGAAAACCCACAAGCTTGGGGGGAGGGGGATTTAAAAAGCACATTACAATGTATCTTTTCACAAATGAGCTTAGCAATTGTCCTTGGTGAGATGGAATATTGACGACTTATGCCTTGTAGCCTTTCCCTTGTGGTGCATCTGTGGTTTGGTAGAAGTACAACAGCAACCTGTCCTTTCTGTGCATGTTCTGGTCGCATGTATAATGCAATAAACTCTGGAAACTAGTTTGCTCACTCTGCTTTCTGAAACGGAAATATGTTATGGTGGAAATGAGAGACTTTGGGGAGATTATCTTCTGGTTAAACTGCCTGTTTGGGGCGCTTGGGTGGAGAATGATAGACAGTAGGGGAAGAGATAAGGGAGGATAAAAGCCAGAAGAGGCCTAGGGTGCTGATATTTGACAGTGGTGGGGACAGGGAAATGATAAGCTAGCCTGAGAGCACAGTTTTCATAAGTGGGGAAAAGGGGAGTCTCGTCTCTCTTCCCTCAACCCGCAATGATAGTAACAATTGCACTCCCAATGGGTTCAAGCTTCCCGCTAGCCTGAACCTGGTAAGTAAGCTTATATGCCCCAAGCCGCTTTTACCTTGAAGCTTCCCATTTGTGTGTTTTCTCCTCTTTGGTTTTAGTTGTGTTATTCTTAATGCTTTCAGTGGAATCTTGGTGATTTTTGGCTGTCAAGAAATCATCAGAGGCCAGGTTGAAACTAGTCTTGCCCACCTGGAAGCTGCCGGCCTCCATTACAGGATCAAGGAGAAGCAGCAGTTTAGCATTGTGCTGAACCACGCCTGCCCCCCTTTCCCCCATCCCCACCCCATCCCAAGCGCAAGACAGCCAGACCCCAGGGAAGCCAAGAATGGGTGAGTTTTCCCTTTCCACTTTACCTCTGTTTCCTGTGGAAGGGTTTTACACTCAGTCATTACCTTTTAGTGGACCACATGAAAAATTTTTAAAGGAAGAAAATGAAAACATTCTACCCATTCAATCTTCCCTCTATATAATACAAAACGCTGGTTGAAGTTGTTGTACCTGACATGCAAGAAAATGCAGAAAGGGCAATTGAAAAAATTGCAAATGAACATGACTTCCTATGAAGTCCAATGTTCCATTTGCAGCCACAGCTCAGGGAAACTCCCACTAGCTTTCAACAGCTTTTGCAGGATCTCCACCAGAGAGCCCAGACTTACTACTCCTGCCAGGGAACTTAGAGGAAGAGGCCTTGAGGGGAAGCGCTGACAGGGAATCCCTTGCCCCAGATCCTGCCTGCAGTTTCAAAGGATCTCCAATAGCTTGAAATAGTTATACAAAATACATCTTGTCATTTTCCCCTTTTCTCTTACCCAAAGAACAATCCATATAGGTGCGTTAAGCCTGAGAGCCCTCATCTAGGCAGTCTTTGGAACACTTAGTATTTATTCAAAATTTAGAACTTTCTCCTGAAAACCAAAAATAGTGCCGACTTCCAAGACAGAACCATTTAGAAGGCCATTTCCTATAGGTAGGAGTGAGGGCTCCCAATCCAGGTTAGACTGGAAACCCTGAAATAGGTTTGCCCTGGACTTACACTGGTTGAGTAGGAAAAGGAGGGCATCTTTAACATAGCCGTTTCTCCAGGCATGAAGAGCACCATTAGTTGTTGATAGGGGTTCTAGTGTCGGAGGAAAACCTGTGTACAGGCAAAGGCAGCCCTTCTGAAACAAAATCAGAAGACCATTGGCAAAGGCAATCAATCAGGCCATACGTAGCCATTCACCCCCTTTTTTCCAAGGCTGGCTGTGGGCTGGGAGCTCTCCAAGGGCGAGGTGGGCAACTTGTAGAGTGAGGAATATGCTCTCGGCCACCGGCGCCCTGGCCGCTTTTGTGTCGGCTCCCAGCCGAGCTCCCGAGGCTTTGTACCATGGATTTGGGAGTGACAATGGGCATTTCCCTCAGATTCAAGGCTGCCCAGCCTTACCTCTGGAGAAAAAAAAAAAAAAAATTCAGAAGGGAGTGGCCCACGGACCTGGCTATTCGGCCGGATTTTTTAGATATCTCCAAAATCCGCTTGGAGGCCTCTAAGGGTGAATCGCGGGAAGCCGCCCTGATCGGGGAGCCGCGATTCCCGCTGGCCTGATGGAGGCAGCGCTGGGGTGGCGGCCGGGAACTGGCCTGCACTAGCAATTGGGTTATGCCCTGTGGCGTGTTCTCTTCCAGGGCCTTTCCAGCAGCCCCGGAGAAGACGAGGCGCCCTGGCCGTCACTGTCCGTGCTCTACCGACTCGCCCACCCGCCGGCCTTTCCAAGGGCAGAGAAGCCCCTCTGCGGCCACTGCCACCTGGTCGGTCCGCGAGCCACGCTGCCCCCGCTCGCCCCTCAGGCCGCGGCGTGTGCCCAGCCTCACGTCGGGGGTGTGTGTGGCCGCGCGGGCGTGTGTGAATGTGGTAGGGGGAGGGGGCCCTCCGAACTGCTCCATCCGTCCGTTTTATTAGGGACACATTAATCTATAATCAAATACACCTCATAAAATTTTTATTGAAAGGCATAATATCATTACAGAGGTCTTCCACCTGTTTTAAACAACACGACAAGCTGTGAGAGAGCGCGTGTGGGTATGTGTGGGGAGGGGTGGGTAGAGGTTGGGAGCAAGGCAGGGGAGAACAGCTCCCCTTGGGCGCCAGAGGGCCGCCCCTGCAGGCCCGCCTGCCTCTGGCCACACTCGGCCTCGCTTGCCCCCGGCTCCCCTTGTGCTGGGTCCCGCGAGGCCCCCAGCTCAAGTCCCGGAGCTGGGGAGCCAGAGCCTGGTTCTCGACTTCAGAACCGAGAGCGGCAAGAGGAGGCGAACAAATAGTCCCCAGCGCCTCCTCCGGCCGCGACCCCGTCTGCGGTCTCGACCGCCACCAGGTGGGACCGGCCAGGCCAGGATCAGCTGGGCACATGGACCTGGGCCTGCCGGCTCTAATTGCGGCGCTTATGTTGATGATAATTTTTTTTTTTTTAAATCACAGCAGCCCCCAGTTTAGCGGACTGATTTACTCCCGGTATTGGTAAATATGATCACGTGGGCCGCGCGACCAATGGTGGAGGCTGCAGCCTGCGAACTAGTCGGCGGCTCGGGCGCCGGCAGGGAGCGGCTCGGCGGCGGGCAGTGCAACCTTGGGTGGGAGCGCGCGGCGCCTCAAAATGTCTTCCAGTGGCACCCTCAGCAACTACTACGTGGACTCGCTTATAGGCCATGACGGCGACGAGGTGTTCGCGGCGCGCTTCGGGCCGCCAGGGCCAAGCGCACAGGGCCGGCCTGCAGGTGTGGCCGAAAGCCCGGCCGCCGCCGCCGAGTTCACCTCGTGTAGTTTTGCCCCCAAGTCGGCCGTGTTCTCCGCCTCGTGGTCCGCGGTGCCCGCCCAGCCCCCGGCGGCGGCGGCGATGAGCGGCCTCTACCACCCGTACGTGCCCCCGCCGCCCCTGGCCGCCTCCGCCTCTGCCTCTGAGCCCGGCCGCTACGTGCGCTCCTGGATGGAGCCACTGCCCAGCTTCCCGGGCGGCGGCGGCGGCGGCGGCGGCCCGGGCCCCGGTCCCAGCCCCGGCCCCAGCCCCGGCGGCCCAGCCAACGGGCGCCACTACGGGATTAAGCCTGAAACCCGAGCGGTCTCGGCCCCCGCTGCCGCCACCGCTGCCTCCACCACCTCCTCCTCCACTTCCTTGTCCTCCTCCTCCAAACGGACTGAGTGCTCCGCGGCCCGTGAGTCCCAGGGGAGCAGCGGCTCCGAGTTCTCATGCAACTCGTTCCTGCGGGACAAGGCGGCAGTGGCGGCTGGAGGAAGCGGGCCCGGGGTGGGGATCGGGTCTGGGGCCGAAGCCGGCGCCGGGGCGGGAGGCTCGTCGGAGCCCTCGGCTTGCAGCGACCACCCGAGCCCAGGTTGCCCGCTGAAGGAGGAGGAGAAGCAGCATCCGCAGCCGCCGCAGCAGCAACTTGACCCAAGTAAGTGCAAAAGAAATTGCCCCCTGATTTATTGCTGAAACCTGTAAGGCTCGAATGTGCAAAACTGATAGTTTTACTAACCTATAAAAACGTCTAGACGCCTACCCAAGCTTAAGCGAGCAACACGCATCCATAAAAAAGCTTCCCATAACCACCTACCCTGGGTGCGCGGTTTGTACGGTAAACAGAGCGCGGGCATTAAGGCTTTTTATGATAATTCTCCCCAAGTTGTGAAAAGCGTCCATCCTTGGTGAAATTAATTTAACGACCTTTCTTCCCCACGCTGTCGTCTCTCCTTGCCTCCCCTCCGCCCCTCGCTCCCCTTCTCTAAACCCCCTCTTTGTAGACAACCCTGCAGCGAACTGGATCCACGCTCGCTCCACCCGGAAAAAGCGCTGTCCCTACACGAAATACCAGACGCTAGAGCTGGAGAAGGAATTTCTCTTCAACATGTACCTCACCCGGGACCGGCGCTACGAGGTGGCCAGGATTCTGAACCTCACAGAGAGACAGGTCAAAATCTGGTTCCAGAACCGTAGGATGAAAATGAAAAAGATGAGCAAGGAGAAATGTCCCAAAGGAGACTGACCTGGCGTGGTGCGGGCGGGAGCGCCCCAAAGGCAGCGGTTTTGTCTTTTCTTTGTGGGTGCTTGATTTCCAGAAACTCTCCAGCGACTCAGACTTTAATTATTATTATTATTATTATTTTTAGGTAGAAGTGACTGTGTGGTTGGTCTCTGTGAGGTATTTGGGGGACTCTATTTACTGGCTTATGTATGGGAGAAATCAAGCGGCTTTGGGGTTCCATACCCTATCCCAGTCCCTCTCTTTCCTGCTCCCTTGGTTTCTTGGGAAATGCTGTATTTTGTGAGTGCACGCAGGCTTGAGGAGCCCTCTCGTGTAAATGTTCCCCAGGTTTCTGAAAAGTGCTGTAGTTTAGTCCCGCGCTGCCCATACAGGGGCCAGGCGCACACCCCAATCCCAAGAGTGAAGGCAGAGCGGCGCCAACACTTCGACACTTCGGACATCTCCACTGCTAGCTCGCTCTGAAGTCTGCCCGGTTGTCCCCCCCCCCTCCTTCCGAAAGCCCCCTTTCCTCAGGGAGCCTGCAGGACCTCAGAGTGAGGCCTAGAGAGGAGCCCAGGGCCTTGGGTGGGTCGGGGATTTGTTTTCTGTGCATTGGACTAGCTGCTCTCTCCCCGGGAGGGCTGAGCTCCTGTGGGCGCCGCGGGTGGTGGCCCTCCCGGTTCCTGCCAGAGTACCAGTTGTAAATGTTACCGCTTCCTACCAATAAATGCTGACCTGATCAAATTGGAGCCCAGATGCTGGCCCTGAACGTTGTGTGCCTGCTTTCTCTGCCTCTCTACAAAATATTACCCTCAGGAGCCTTCTCCCCCATCCCAGGGAAGGGGACCTTGCTAAAACTCCAGGGCACTTCCACCTGACATATCTCGCTGATGTGCCTTTGAGGTTCTCTTTGTGCGTACAGACTAGTCCTAGTACTCAACATCACCGACCCCTAGGGTCTTGGTGCTTCTCCAAGCTTATTTTCAGCGCCTAATCGAACTCTGTGCCCTGGGTCCAGTATCAGTTTCCCCGCAGCTCCCAGTTGAGCTGGCAGGCCCCAGAAGCCAGGCACCCTCTGGCTTGAACTTTGGCACACAGCACCCCAGGTCTCCCCAGACTCATGGAACCCCAGACGCTAACTCCCCTCTCCAAACAAGGGAAAGGCCAACTCTGCACTCTAGAGCAACTCCCCCAGCGGGGCTGGCTGGCTCCAGGAGGTCCGAGCCTGTCGGCTGTGAGCTTCCACCCCGCCCCACCAGAGAGCCCCAAAGTGACCTTAGCGATCAAAATGGTCAAGGCTCTCCTCTCCAGCCCCCCCCCCCAATCCCGCCGCCTTCTTCTCCCCCACCCAGCTTCTGTGTATGTTTAGCCTCTGGCTTGGCCCTCTGCGGGCCACATTCAGAGGCTAAAATGAAGGTCATTGTAAGTGAGGGTTCAGCCGAGCACCGCCTTTGCGAGCTGAAGAGGCGGCAGTGGCGCCGGGTGGCTGGGCTGGGCGAATGGTGGGGGCGGTGGCAGAGATCTTGGGGATCCTGATGAAAGAAGGTACTGGAAGAAAAAGCAGAGGAGGGCTGGGAGGGAAATCCTGGGCTCAGATCCGGCAGAGGTGCTGTGTACCCCCGCCCCTACAGCCAGCCCAATACCTAAGGTTCTTTGAAAACAGGAAGAACCAAGGTGTCATAAAGCCATCTAGCCGGCGAGACGTCTGGAGGTAATGAGTTTACAACGGGCCCGGCGCTTCGCTTTGAAACCATCTCATTTTGATGTTTGTGTTTGTGGGAAGAAAGGAAAAATGCAGACAAAACTGTGTCTTAAAATCTGAACAATAAAATACAAACAAGATTGCGTTGAACCAAGAAGGCAGGGGCTTGTGAGCCCCCCACCACCACTCTCCCATGAGGTGTGAGCACCTAGGAAAGGAGCCTGAGAGGTAGGAAGGAAGATGTGAGGTACTTCTGATTTCTTAAATGAGCAGGGTATTAGAAGTAGCCTAATGCGGGTGGCTTTTTATAATATTTTGACTATAACTACAGTCACTCTCGCTGGTTCTAGGCATAGGCACTGTATTCGGTGCTTTGGGACATAAAATTTTGGATCAATCAGGACTTCAGAAAAATTGGACTATGGCCCAACCGAAAGTAGAAAACAATATGGTAAATTAATGCATTCTACCAAAACACAAAAATTTAAAAATCAGCCTGTTATTTGGGAGTAGGGAGGCAAGTGATCGTGGATTGTTTACCCATGAGAGAGTCTCCCTGAAGTGCAATCATAGGAAAAAGACAAAGTTAGACCCGTTTTCACAAAAATATTTTGTCCTTCCTACAAATTTCAAAGCAAAAATATTGTTGCAGTTTGTGTCTATTCACTTATAAAAATTACAATGATTACACCTAAACTATAGGAAAGAATTTTTGAAAATAAGAAAAAGATTATCCTCATGGGAAACATGTATGCCAATTATCCTTTGCCTTTTAAAAACTTCTAATGGAGTGCTTCAATTCAGCTCAGCCTGTGACTTGTGATATAAAGTTTTTAAATCTCATTTTTGTCCCTAGAAATTCAAACCAACACAAGCCCAGCAGGGACTTCCCAGACAGCCACTCAGAGAGATCCAGCAAAGAACTGGATTTGGCTTCAGTTCCTCCCCCAATTGCCCAACTAAATGGGCCTGAAGCATTAAAATTACAAAGATAAAATAAAAATATTCATGATTTAACTGCTAAGTAATAGCTTTAAAGAAAAAAAATGTTTGACCCTTATACTTTCTTAGTTGCTTTAGTGCCTCTCTCCTAGGAGTGAGTGGGGGGAAGACCATTTGGCAGTTGATATTTAGAAAGTTGTGATTTTGTGGAAATCTAGCCTGTCCTATAATTGTTTTAAAAGGCACAGCTGGGTGATTATAGCATGGGGACCTAAGGTATCTGGCAAAAAACCGCAGGAAGCTTTTGAAAAAAGAACTACTGGAAGCTCTTGAATGCACGAATGAGAATATCTTCGGCATTCAGGAGTCCCTCTTTGCTGCACTTGACTTGTTGACAGTCACCGGGAAGAAGCATTACTAGTGTTAGGGGTCCAAGCCCCAAACTGCAGAAGGAGCTTAGAATTGGTTTGAGACAAATAAGAGAGGGAAGTTACACTCTGTGGGCAGGAGGTGGCATTTGGACACTAGAGGGCGCTGTTGCTCTATTTTCTGATCTCATTACCCGAGTTGTGGGGGAAGGTTTTGATTAAAAATATTTACAATCTCATTTTTAATCCTAAATTAGAATAAATATAACAAAAAACCAGCATGCAATACTAAATTCTCCAGCAATTCTTGGTAGGCATGAAATTTTGGATCAGTTAGGACTTCAGAAAATTTGGAGTATGGCACAACAGAAACTATAAAACAGTATGGTAAATTAATGCATTCTACCAAAATGGAAACCTGTTAAAGCATAGATCTTATTTACAAAGTTAATAGTGTTCTTTTTTAATTCATATGATAAGCAAAATGCTTAAGTAAATTTTAAAAACTGCTTTGTCCCAAGAGGAAATACTGTGTTGTAATGTTGTCTAAAGTAGGCCTGAATGTGTAAAAACGAATTTCACATTGTTTACGTTTCTTTTTTCCCTCTAGGAGTCACACAGTTCTAGAAGATACTTTGTATTACTAACGTCCAGGCTTTCCTATTTTTCACACATTCCATTCCAAAATCCATTCATTTATTGAGGTTTGAAACACAAACGTACACATTCTAAGTAGAAATTAAAAAGCACAATTACAAAGTTGGATCTAAGGCTTTATTGAAAATAATAATCTTTTAATTGGGTATTTATAAACTTGAAGAACAAATCTTTAACTGTCAGCGCATTTGTTTCAGTTTTAAAGGAAGTTACCTGGCAATAACCAGCAGGAAAAAAAAAAAAGAAAACAAACAAAAAGAATCAATCTTTCGCCAACCCCACAAAACTCTTCTAAACTCCCTGCTATTTAAAAATTAAGTAAAGCATGTCTTTATCATCTCCAGATTCATTAACAATCCCTTTACCTTAACCATTTCCAGCCATTCCCTGTAGAAATAACTGTGAATCAGACATTATTGTCGTGCTATGCCTGTCCATCTTGACCTCATTTTCTCCATTTGTAAAAATGATATTCAGATGACACCAACAGCCCCAGAATCACGCTCACCGGCTGGGCCAACCCACAAAGAATGGGGAGGGATAGTTGAACTCACTGTCCTGCAGCGTCTTTGAGGATAGGGTCTAAGTCTGGGGCTTTTAGACCTTTGCATTTGGTGTAGGAAACTGACATGGTGTGTTTCATCTTAAGCCGAGCATCCTCAGTGAACTCCAAGCTTGCGTTCGAGGTCTGTTCCCAGGGGCCGTGGATCTGATGCCCTCAGTGTACTGGGTGATCCCAATGGAAAGGGGCTCAAAGAGCCCAAGAAAAAGGCTGGGTAGAGGAGGGGTAAAAAACACAACAGAGACTCATTACATTTATAAAGGAAGACGAGATAAAAAGAAACGTGTTGGGGGGGGGAGAGGTTTGGTGGTGTAGTGCCAAGCAACTTTGAGGAGTTTTTAAAATCATTGCTCACAAACTACGCTGAGCCCTCTCTTTTCTTTTGGAAAAATTATCAACTTTAAGGCCCGCACTCTGTTTTAGGTAGTTATTTTGTGGGGCTGGCGGCTGAACTAGAGTCGTTAGTAGAAGACTGGAGCCGCCAGCGGCTGCCTGGAACCGGCACCTTCCGAATGGCCAGCTCAGTGCGGGAGTGGGTCCCCCGCGCTCCACCCGGGGCCACAGCCGCCCTGGTTTGCTGGGCGCTGGGGTTGAGGCCTGAAAGCCTGCGTCCTGCTGGAGGAAATACCTCCCACCCTAGCCTGAGTCCTCTTTCCCGCCTCAGAACATTTGTTTGCTCTTTTAGTTACTCCCTCAGCAATGCTAATGACCCGGGCCACATTCTTCAGTCTCCCCCCTGCCTCTGGTACTGACGTCTATCAAGGGTGAAATGATGGAAACTATATTCATGGGCATGATTTCCATTAAATATCAATTAACCTGGGAGCCTCGGCCAGGCATGCAGTGCGTCAAGGGTAAATGTACATCTCATTTCCACAAGGCCCACTCAGCTGGAAAAGAAGGGCTTTGATAACGCCAGGATTTGGGGCCATGCTTGTGGCCTTTAGTCAGACCACTTAGACCCAAATTCAAATGGATAGTCCAGTTTGTCAACACTACTTGTCCATGTTCTACGGTCTGCACCCGCGTGTCTAGGGATGCGAAAGCCATGACCAATCCATGCTTGGCTGCTTCAAGGGGTTCAGTGAGGGAGTCATTTGCTCCGCAGCCTCCTGGGAGTGGCCTCCCTGCCTCCACCAAGTCTAAAGTTCTGCCGCGTCCCCGCCCCTCCAGCTATGCCTCGCATTCCCGGGGCCCCTGGGCACTACGAGCCCGCGGCAGCGCAGCTTTATCAGCCCCCTTTAAGACCGGCGGAGGCATCTCCGGGCCGGCGTGAGGCGTCTCTAATGGAGCAGCAGCTCGCCTCTGCGCGGATCCCTCCGCGTGGTTATCTCGTCCTGATCGCGCTGCGTCTCCTTGCGGCGGCGGGGTGCGAAAATGCCTCGCCGGCGCGCACCGGGCCCGCAGCCTCGGCGGCGGGGGCGACAGCAGTGGGAGGGGGCCGCGGGGGGGGCCGATGCAAGAGGTGGCAGCAAGCAAAGGATGTTTTTTTTCTTTTCCCTCCAGAGCAGGGG